ATTTTGTGTTTTCATAATCTTGTCGAATCGTCAGCATATAACTTTACAGTCTTTTTAATTCACTGATAAAATTAAAATGAAGGATATTATACATATATGAACTGCATTAAACTCAAAATACGGGTTGTTCAGACAATAAAATATACACATCTGCATGAACGTATGTTGAAAAAGATGAAAAAAGCACGCACAAACACGCATGGTTCACAAACTTTTCCGATTATATATTTTTCTAATGTTCACGAGCATAAAAACTACAGAAATATTTTTGTCACATATTGCATGTGCCCACATATGTCTGAAGATACATTTTTTTATGCATGTTCACGCAAAATCCAACAAGATTATATCTACAATGCATGTATACGCAGGTAATATTGCTGTTCTTACATGAGAATCACGTCAATTATGCAATAAAAATTTGTTTGATTCGAAATAACCAAAAAGAACATTAGGGAATATATTAGTTTTCCCACATACGAAGATGTGAGAATTTTTTCGATAACAATAGGTGCATACAAAACAAAAAACTTCTTGATTTTTATCTCGAATATGATCTTTTGTTCTCTATAACCTATTGTCTATTTGACAGTGTATGCATGAGTTATCGAATCAATATCCAATTGGAAATCTATGAATACACAGAAGATGAGACTCATTTTGAAGATCTAATATTAACAACATACGACGTCTATCATTGATAGAAATCATTCATGATATTGCGTCACTTATTATCTCATTCGATTCGGTTGAATGAATACGTTGTCAATGAAGAAAAAAAATGATAAAAAAAGAGATTACGTATAGGTATATTCCTTGTTATTTTTATAGGAAAAAATGCTTTGATGAAAGAAGGAGTGACAATTGGAAAATATCATGATTTGCTCTTGAGGGTGGAATTAATATAAATATGTACTCGCTTAATCAATACATAAATCTGTGGTTCTCAACATATTCATAGTTTTAAGTTTAATATTTGTTTAATCTTAATCGAAATGCAATACGGTATCCATACATCATCAAATATTCAAAAGTTATATTTGGCTATTGAATTATTCATTGTTTTCAACACTATTCACCATCTTTTCTTTCAAGATCGATCAATTACAAATATTGGATATTGGTTTCGTAAAGGATGGGTTGTTCTTCCTGATTATCTCAGTCATTATAAACGAAATATTTTGATTATTCATTTCTTTTCTGGTATGATTGCACTATTTGGTATGCGTTATCAAACCAGTGGTCGTCATAAAACTTATTCCATTATTCACAAATACGTTGGTTATATCATTGTTTTAAATCAATTATTAGTTCATTCACCTACCATTTTGATGATGAATCAATATGTAAAAGATTATGCATTGTCAAGAAAAATTTTCTACATGATGACTACTCTTGTGACAGTAAAAAGGTCAATAATGTTGGTGAAATATGCTGTGGAAAAAGATATGATCAAACATCAACGATCTGCATTGACTTTATACAATTATATTTCAACATTTACCAAAGGTAGAATATATATGTATGCAGTTCTTCCTTTTCTTCCAAATTATTGGAAACCTTTTCACATATTCATATCAGACGTTGTGTCTGTAGCATTTGCAGAACGATATTCATGGAAAAGAATGACAAAATTATTCCTTATCTTTTTTACATATGGACAACTCATTGAATGGACACCTTGTTTATGGTATATTTGGGCTTTGATCGGACTTACTTACACTGCTATTTATGCTTAAGAATTGAAATTTATTGTAAAAATAATTGTTTTTGTTATAAATAAAAGAATTTTAAAAAGCAAACGAAGATTTGTATTTTATTATTTCTGTCAAATGACCAAAATATTTGTTTTCAAGAAAGACGTACAAAAGAAAAGATATGGAAAAAATAAAAATATAATTCATTTTTTGCGATTATTTGAAAGAGATATTAGAACTGAGGATTTGTTCGTTATCAATATAAACTGAAAAGATCCAATTATATAATGTTAAGACAACAGTATGATTTATTTCGAATAGGCTGAACTATTAAAAATGTGCTATTCATTCCGAAAAAGCGTTGGCCATACTTCAAAAACGTTTATCTTTTAAATACTTTTATCAGTGAACTGCGTCGGAATCGCAACGACACAATTTTTCGGCTTCAGAGTTTGAACCGGAGTCGGAGTTGGAGTAGTGAACTTCATCGGACTTCGAAACCTGATTGACATTCCAACTGAGTCGGAGTAGGTGGGATTGAAAGGAACTGTTTCAGAGTTCATGCCAGAGTTATATTAGTACAACAGGCAAATAATGTTACTCTAATCAAGAAGCAAGTTTATTGATGAAATATTATTGAATAAACAAAAGTATGCTACTTTTAGTTTTATAAATAAACTTTAAGAAAAAAAAATGACACAAGGAAGATGTTCACATTAACTATTAGCATAAAGGAAAAAGAAAATAGACTAATACATGATGATCTCTTTATTAAATAAGTCATTGAAACTATCTTCGACGTCGAAACGTAATTGTTTAGGAACTGTGCAGGTGTATTCTTCTGAAGATACTATTGTTGTCGATGGATGCGCGTGTAGTTGTCTATGTGGTTAATTTTTCAAAAAAAACCGCCTCCACACCCACACGCTTCACAATATTTCTAAAACTTTCTACATTCTGCTCACATACTGGAATAACACAAATATGCTGAAAACCACCAAAAGTCCTGTAAGACTTCTTGATTCTTTTTTATAATGTCTTAGTCTTAGAGTGACCTCGAATAATCTAAGTTTTACTTAAAATTCAAGTAAAAAAACTCGTCTAACTTTTCTGCATAGATCTACTAATGATATATTTACAAACTGTTAGTGATCCGAATTGCATTGCTTATACGCCCACATTCTTTGTTATGAATAGAAAACTGAATATCAAATCGTACAACAAATTCATTTGTTCACATGACT